ATGTCATTTTAAACTTCGTTTAACACAACGGTGGAATCGGTCCTAAATCAATTTGGTTATCGTAAAGACTAACTGTACTTCTTGTTAGAAACAATAAAATTAAACTCATATCCCTTATTTTTACATGTCAAACAGGGGTGGACCTACAATAATTAGAAAACTGAAAACAATATATTATTATTAATCTAAAAATACACAGAACACAAACGACTGATATGACACGGAGATTTTAAAGTTAGGTTTACATTAAAACCGAGCGGCATTTATCACAGCCGTATTAAAACTAATCCGTTTAAATCACAAGCGAACCTTTCTTTTGTCTAGGGTATGTGCTCTTGGAACAGTATAAAACTCGATTAAATAAAACCCTTTGATCTTAACGTTTCCTTGTCTATTAACTAAAGGTTTTATTTAATTCCGGCCATTTTACTTTCTCGAGATGGTGGAAGCCATGATAGATAAAAATATTTAGACTTACATAAAAACGACAGTTAACCACTTAAACGTATAATTTAGATTTCTTTTAATACAGAATAATCTAAGATAATAGATAAAATTATGTTTCTTTCTAGTTTGTTTTTCAATTTTGTTTTTTTTTTTTATTATAAAACTTCAGAAATTTTAAGGCCCCTAAGTTTCATAAAACTTTTTCGTTAACATTTATCGATAAAGTTGGGTGCGCAGTATATATTTCTACCCTGACACATTCTGAAATCACTACCTTACTTTTTATTATTTTATAGTTCATGGTTGGAGCGTCACCATAGGTCTTTTCCTTTGCATCGAAAGTGTAGCACTGAGCTACACCCATGGAGGAAGGGCTACACCACTTCTGAAAATATCGTTCCATTTATACAAATTGTATGGATGGAACGACATTTTCAGAAGTAACGTAGCTCAGTGCTACACTGTCGATGCAAAGGAAAAGACCTCATATTATCATCTTCAAATAGAAATTGCGGCCTAACGTAAAATGACTAGATTTTGGACAAAGTCGGAACATCTGGGGGGTGGTATACTTTATGGGAGGCCGTTTTTATATTTTATGGAATATATCTGTTATTTATGTTTGGAGGAGAAAATTCTTCAAATAAAAGTTACTGCTAATATAATTTTTGTTTTTTGCCAAATTTTTCTGAAATGGTCCGTATTCGAGAAATTTCACAAAATGTGCAAAATTCTGATATTTAAGAAAATTGTTGAACTAAAAGTTGTTTGCGATATCGATCTTTATAATTTTTGTTTAAACATGATTTTTCTAAAATGGACCGTAATGGAAAAATTGTAGGAAAAGTGCTATATTAAAATTTTTCAGTATTTCGTTTTCAATGAATATTTATGGAAAAATGTTTCGAGGTAGATATATGTGGAAAATATATATATTTAGTTTATTCTCTAAACATTTATAGAGGTGCTGCAATAGGTTGTACAAAATAACCAAGCAATTTTATTTGCTAAAAGAATTATGTATATAGTTTTAAAAAACTATTTTCATATGTTAACAATAAGATAAATTAAAAATTATCTTTAAAAGTGTACATGTAACTAACATTATTAAGTGCACTTCAAAACCGCATGTGTTTAAAATGTATTTAAAGTGGTTTTAAAAAGGTCTTCACAGCAGCTTTAAAATCAGGTGTTCAAAGGTAATATAGTTTTATGGTGATTTTTATTTTTCGTTTAATTGACCTCTTTCAGAGTGGGCCCTTTTATGCTGATGGCGTATTTATTGCAACCTTAGGGCTCCTTTTAAAACTAATTGGTTTTAATTGCAGTTTTATTTTACAATTTTAAAGCATCCTTGAAGTACTGAATAAAACCGTTCGGTGATACTTGGGTAACTATATCATGTGTCGTTTTTTTCGTATAATAGAAGTTTATTGTATGAATGTGGTGCACCCTATATAATTTATTAAAAAGTTATTTACAAAAACGAACACAAATAGAATTAATAATATCTCAAGTAAGGAAATAAGTAGCATATCGCATGCCTCAAGATACTGTCTTATGTCATATCTTGTTTAATTTTATTTTAAATAATTTGTCGTTTAAATACAGATGGAAATATTGTAAGTTTTTCAGACGACACAGTTATTCTGTAAACAGAGAACTGGAATTGATTAAAATTATTAATAGAAACAGATCATATAAAATTTTTCGAATGGTTTAATTATAAAAACACCAAAACCTTTGAAAAAACTTAGGTTGTTCCATTATACAGTTACAAAAAGATGGCCTCTTCCTATAGAAACAATAAAAGGTAACATTCAGTAGTTTCATATAAGTATTACAAATGATATAAAATACCTTAGAGTACAAATTGACTCTCATCATAACTGGACTAAGCATACAAATAATGCGTTGAATGTACATTTAAAAATAATCTATTTTGCACTCATAGAATCATTATTACGTTATAGGATCCTTTCTTAAAAAGGTGTTTTACCTGCTTATGCAAAATTGTCCTACAAAAAATATTACTAATAGTATTATGTAATAAAATGATCAGAAATTCTCTTCGATATTAGGAAGTTTTATATGTACTCCAACAAAAACATCTAAGAAAGAAATATCACAGCGGTGTTTGACCTAAATATATAAGTATAGGATATTTAATTTTTTTTTAATGCATATCTTCAAAACATATTTATTTTTCAAACCTTAATAATTTGTAAAATGTATATTAATAAAGACATTGTCATAATAAAGATGTAAAAAAGAGAATTTTTTTTTAAATACATTATTGCTTTGATTTTTCAAATGAAATCCCTCTATATAAATTATCCCAAAAATATTTTCCTATATTTATCCCACCCAACATGCAATTTTAAAGTAAAATTTATTCACATAATGAAGGTTAATAAAAAAAATGCAAACTTCTCGCAAGAAAATAGCAATTCGTTAAAATGAGAGAAATCGGTAAATTTAGATAATATGCAAATGAGAATTTATTATTTTCTTTTCTACGTCCCTTTATGACAGTACGTCACTGGTAGACCGGAAACACTTGTCGCCATATTCGTCTAGTTCACTGTCAAAATTTGATACCATCGCGATTCCAAGGTCGTTTAGGATTCCTCTTCCTGACTATATATATTCAAAGATTTAATCCCATTATACAGTGACGCGAAGCCGACCCAGTTCTTTGTTTACTTTCTTGTCCGTGGTATGAAGTCTAGCGCTGGCCATATAGAGGACAAATGCACTGCTTCGAGAAGCTACCGGATAGATCGATGTGCGGTGTTGAGTCATAGAGAGGGAGTTACCGAAAGTTCTGGGTTGCCGAGAGTATTCTGGTGCAGAGCTTAATGGTTTTATATAAATTGTCGAAAGTCGAAAGACGTTAAGTTTGAATATAAGTGTCGCATAGAAAAGATAAATTGTAATAAATAAATGAAAATTGTGAGTTATTAATGCCTAAAGTATTATATATAAATTAATTAGTACGTTATAAATAAAGTGTTTTAAATAAATAAACTATAAATAAATTAAACAAACGTTACATTGGTGTTTGAAGTGAAACTGTAAATAAATAGCAGGTATTTCTTCCTTAGAAGAAAAAGTTACTTCTGACATACCTATCTTCTTTAAAAACCGAAATTTCTTCAGATTTAGACAACAAAATGTCTTTTCTAAAAAATGAAATTTCTTTTATGTGGAAAATAAGATGACTTCTGTCGAGAAGAAAATAATGTCTTCCGTTGAGGAGAAAGTAAAACAAATGGAAAAGAAGATAGAATAACTGAAACATGCAGAACCGGCCAAGGACGGTGAAATAAAGTGCCATGAGGTGAAGTCAAAGTTGAAATTGGGAGAAACTGTAAATTCTGCTCATGTTCAGACGAGACCCTTTAAAAATATGCTCTAAATACAAGCGTCTGAATATCCGATCGCGCCCGGTATATATAGCACGTGTCTTGACCGTCTTGACACTTGACATACGCTTTCGTACCAACCACATACAAATAGGTATACGGCGTAAAACCCTCTGCGCATCTTTACTGAGTGTTTAATAAAAGAAGATAGAAATGACCGCCATTTTTATATAAACAAACTGAAACTTATGCAACCAATTTATCTTTCCATCTGTCAAAAGTGTCAAATTTTAATGTGTTTGTGAATTTGGTTAAATTTTTTTGTGTTATTTTAGAATATTTTGATTGTGGATATTATTTTCTAAGTGTATAAACGTTTCATTTATTTTAACATTTGTGAATAGACTTTAATCCCAGTATAAGTTCTCTATACTGGGCTTTATTCAAGATGTCTTGTAAGATCTTGCAAGAACATAAGAAGACTGTTGCCAATAGATTCAAATGTTACATTCCACAAGTAAGTAATAAGGTTTAGCAAAAATAAAGGATATGAAAGAAGTGTCTTTATATTATTTTAGGGTTCCAAAACAAGCAGAACGTTCCTTATTGTGGTTATCTACCATATAGAAATTGGACAAAATTTCTTTTAAGTTGTTAGTACAATTCACTGCAGAATCAATAAGGACGACCCGTTCACTAAAAATTTGTAGCTTTTAGAAATTATACAAGAAGAAAGTAAATTGTTTAAAATAAAACAAATATGCAACCATCAATTTAATTTTAAAGTATCCTGGAAATTTTAATATTTTTAACTTCCTCTTCTGTACTTTTGTCATTTAAAATTAGTATTTAGGTATTTAATCTATTATTTGTCGGCCTATTATTTATCAGCCTAACATGTATTTTTAAACATTAAAATATTTTTTTTGTTGTAGAAAATAAATTTAATTCAGATATAATATTGTATTACCTATTTCTTTTAAAAAATCTGTACAAAATGATGTATTTAAAAGTGAAACGACCTAGACATCTGCAACCAAGTTTTCATATTGCTGTATTTCTGGTCACCTATGTACTAGTAATCTTGTATAAAAATGGCCGCCCCTATGTTAAACAGGTCGGACGTCTCTCTTGCTCCGTATACCTATTATAAGTATGTGGTACCAACACGTCAAAAGTGAAGAACTTGACAGCAACGTCAACTCCTTATGATGGCTGCTGAAATTGAAAATTGTAAAATTTCTGAAAATATCAATAAACTAAATATAGAAAATGAAAATAACTCCAAAGTTAACAAATATAGTGCCATTGCAGCAAATGTAGAATACGGTCTACCTCTTAAAGAAGTATATAAATTAGCTTTCAACTTTTATAAAGGTACATTTTGTGTTTGTTATTATTACAAAATGTTGTTTTTATTTTTTTTTTTGTAGAAAAAGATGGCAAAGCCGTGCATTTTAGTTACGAAGATAAATTACAGCTAGCAGCGTTCTCTCAGCAAGCATTATATGGATGTTATGCAGAAGCAGCTCATAAATTAGCTCCCTTAGGGACTTTAGATGTTGTAGGAAGAGATAGAAGGATAGCCTGGCAAAAGTTGGGACAGTTATCCTGTGATCAAGCAAGAGCAGGATTTGTGGAATTATTAAGTAGAAAATGTCCTCTGTTTTCAACTTACATAGAAGCACACAGAAGGGAGAAAATAGAACATGATCGCCGACTGTTAGTATCAACTTTTACTAAATATGTTTATGGATATGTTGTTTTCTTCGATTCTGTAATAACTTAACTTCTTTTTAGTGAGGAGGAACGAGAAAAAAAGAAAATTGAAGAGGAGGAAAGGCTAAAAAAGTTAGAAGAAGAAAAAATTCTACAAGAAGAATTGTGGAAACAAGAAGCAATTAAAAGGCAGATACAACTAGCTTTAAATCAACAAACTTATGAACAGTTTAGAAAATATGCTGAACAACAATATCCAGGTAAGAAAAAGTTTTATTAATTTGTGGACATTATATGATTTTCTCATTTTTTAGGCGATCCAGATAAACAAGGTTCCTTAATAAAGCAATTACAAGAACAGCACTATATACAATATATGCAACAACTACATGCCACACAGAAGGAGCATAGAGATAATCAAACTGGAACTTTGATAGACAAAAGTATCAACACTGCACAGGTAACAGATTCATAATTTTTTGTATAAAGAAGAAATAATTACTACTCTAGAGGTACATTTTAAGATGTGTTGCTCTGAATAAGTAGACTAGTTGCTAGAAATCCTAAGTATTTAAATTTGGAAATCAGAAAATATTGATATAGTTACAGAACTGAGAGTAGTAGAGGATAGTGAGTGCAGATTCTGTGAGGAGGAGGACGAAACCTCCATTCACATCCTAACTGAATGTGTAGCACTCCCGAATCCAAGGGCACTATATCTAGGAGGATATCAAATAGAAGAGGGAGACTTACCTAACTTGAAGCCACTTAAAATCCTACACTTCCTTGAGAAAATAGGATTGGAAGGGTCGCTATAGGCATTGAGACATTTCCTTAGTGCAGTGGCGATAGAAGGGGGCACAATAGATCTTTTAGGTCGCAGTGTATTGTGTATTAACACCCCATTCTCAACATAACATACAGATCTGTCTACGATACTAATAACACAGTAAAACTGATGACCAATTTATACTTGTCCCCAACTGTCGTTCCAAAGCTTTACCCTATGACATTTTTGTATAACTTTAAATTTCATGACACAAAGTTTTTTATTAATGAATATTTTGTAAATAAATGAAAAGAAAGAACAAAAATAATATATTCAGACACGAAAGTAAATAGATTTAATAATGCAATCATCAAATAGAATTTTTTATATTAACCACATTTATAAAGTATTGTTAGTTGCATGTACAAAATACAAAACAAACTTTAAGAAAATTACAAAACTAAGATTAAAAAAATTATAAAATGCAATGCAAATAATACATCACAATCAATAATAAGAAAACGAATTTATTTTTAATATAATAGGTGCTCAAATAGACCTCTTTGTGTAAGACTACCTCAAACATTTGTAAAATTACCTTCTTACTTCATCCAATATATTGGGGCTAATAAGTTGAACGCTTTCTGAAATTTTCAGTTTCAGCTCATCTATGTCATTATCTCTTTTTTCTCTGAATCTGTATATTTGAGATTTTAAATAACCCCACAAAAAAATCACAAGGTGCGAGATCCAGTGATTTAACTGGTCACATAATTGTACCTCCCCCAGAGATTACAATCTGTTCAGAAATGTTTCATTTAAAAAGTGTTGCACAGTCACATGATTATGCCCAGAACATCCGTTTTTCTGAAACCTAATATTGTTGAATCGACAATAGGTGTTTAAGTAAATCCAAAAATTTTACACTATTTGAATTATCAACAATATAAAGTAGAACTAATTATATTTTCACCTAGTATACCCATCCAAACATTTAACTTTTGCGGGAACTGTGTGTGAACTGTTACAAATTTATGTAATTTTCTCGAAATCAATATTGTACTTGGGATGAATTATGCCTGACAAATAATGAAAAAGTGGACTCACATGTTGAACACAACATTCTAAAGAAAATTGTCATTGTTAACTTTTTCCATTAATGCCTCGCTAAATTCCATTCTTCTGATACTGTCAGTTTCATAAATTTCTTGACATTTTCAGCATTTTCTTAATTAATAAAATCGATATATTTAATTTTGTTAACTGTGGTTTCACTGGAACCTACAACTTCCACAACTTCTCTCTGAGACATCAGATTTTCTTCCACAGTTGCCCAAACCATAATATCCCTATCTTCTTGCTTATTCTGGTTACACATTAGGTGAAATATAGCTATGAATTAAAAAAAATAATTACTGTTGACAGTGATGGTGTGGGCTTATTTTGAAATGTCACTTCAAACAAACCACTTTTTTGGTGAATTGTGTTGCCTTGAAAATGTCATTTCACAATTTGTACAGAAAGTATGATGAATAGAAAATTCATTTTAAATTTTAGAAAAGCTTTTCACCCATGATAAAAGCACAAAATTTAAAGTGTGGATAAGCATAAATTGGTCATCATGTTTACCATGTTCCTAGTATGGTGGAAGGATCTGTATAATAGGTATGTTCCTAAGCAATAAGGAATCAACCCTGATCATTAGGAGTGTAGACTCATAATTTAAGTGTTCAAACACACACTTCTGATTTGGTTAAAAAATTCATTAAAATATATACAATATACATATCAAACATTAAAAATTATGCTCAAGTTTACATTTGAAAAAGTACCTAAATAAAATAACCATAAGAAAGAGAAAAAGAGAAGGAGTAGTGACAATACAACTTGAACTAAATCAGATATCACAATTATTAATATGTATGGTTAACATAATATGCTGATTTAAACATCTTTTGAAAGATTATAAAAATTCCATAGACAAGAGGAGATATAACTACAAACAAATATTGTGCTGTTAAGAATAAGACCTACTCTAAGGGACACAGGAAGGTATAATATCCGCTGTTGTCATGCCTATTTCATTATTCCCATTTTGTTTACACAATTATTTACGTATCTTAAAAAAGCTAAAATAATTCAACCTATTTTATTGCAACTGAACCCAAAAAAATTTGAATCATTAGTTATTTCAAATTTAACTAAATTAGATGTAATAATTTTCAATACATTCCAAAACCTAGTTAATGTTAAGTTGTATATCAAGTATTTTGTACTAGATGTGGCAACAGGGCTTCATTTTGTACATTGTTTATTATGAGAGTTCAATGTCTTACACATATATTCATTGATAAAATTGTTGTGTACGGCCGTCAAATCATTTAGATTATTGCTTCCCTTACCTTATACTACATGTCTCTTCACTCCTGATCTACAACTGGAGTGTATCAACTATAGTATCTATGTCGGCGTCAAGAATATTATATTTTATCAATGAAAAATTCCATTATAAATTCAATTCCAAAATGAGAATATGCATTACAAAATCTTAATAGTCATTGTAATGTTTAGTAACTGTGGTTTTGCTCTATTTAATTTTTTATTTAGAATAACATTTTAAGTATGTGGTTTTTATTTAATTCCGTTTTTTTTTTTAAGAAGAATGAAGAATGCTAAATTGCAATATAGGGCAAATAAAATTTAGGTAGTATTGAGATTGATTTCTTTTTATTTTCTGTTATTGTCTTCATTATAAATTTGAGAACTGTTCTATCAAGAGGTCAGATTTCTTTTTCTCAGCATAAAGGGAATCCTTATTACAATAAAACAATATACTAATATTATTTAAAATATTAGCAACTTTACTTCATTTTCAAAAAATGTTAAGTTAACCGAAAACTTATATTAAATAATATAAGTAAATAATGATTTTTAAAATTATAAAATATTAAAAATCATTATGAATTGGGAACATATTCAAAACAAAAATGCTTAGATACACCCATATTATTATTTCTTAAACGAGTTATTAGTAATACATTTAGAAAAAATGTTATCCAATATGGCGGCCATTTTGACAGCTGACAACAATTTCAATAATTAGGCATTCCAAGGACCTGTCAAAATGCTGCCAGTTGGAACTGACAGTTTAGATATGGCAACTCTGTGGGTCTGTTGTCATTTGTCGCTTTCTTTTTACCACAAATCTGAGCTAACTTACATCGACAAAGCTTAGTTGTACGTTCTTTTTGTGATTGTAAGTCAGAATCTTTCTTCCCCCCTTACCTATGCTAAGGTACATGGATCTTGACGTCAACCATAACAGAAAGTGAGTGTTCTGCATATGAACAAACATATCCAATGAATTCATTATTTTAGAGAGATTAGAAGACTGTGATAACAGGGGACAAGATCATAGTGTTGAATGTTGAAGAAATTATAAAATTTGATAAAAATCTCGATTGTTTTTAAACGGATGACATGGAACACGTCGCCTGTCAACTAAAATTCGCGTTCTTTTTACAACTTAGCTTAGATCAGGACATGCATTCTTTTGTGCATACTCAACACATAACGAATTGAATAGACAGACATTGCATACGAATCGCATTCTGTGGAATGAAGACAGGGCCGCCGAGAGCCAGGCCGGGCTCCAGGACAATTCTCTAGATCGGGCCCCGTGACAAAAAACAGCTCTTCAAACAAAAACTTTTCTTCTTTTTAGTTAAATTGAGTTCCTAAAAAAAATCCTCAATTCTTCCTCTACTTCAATTGCTATTAAAAAAAAAAAAAATTTAAGCAAAAACTTTTCCTCCCCTACTTCAAAAATTTTCCCCTCTCGTCTTGTGTCGAATTTCTCATACAAAATAAAAAAAAAATCAGTTGTGGGCCCCCTTTATACCGCTGCCGGGCCCCCATTTGAGTCCGGGCCCCGGGAATTAGTCCCGGCTACCCCCCCTCTAGTCGGCCCTGAATGAAGGTAGTCATCTCAACACGTGCCGAATTGAGAGGTGAGAATCCCAATGCAGAATCTAACTTTTAGTTAGTCAAGTGTACCTGTAAAAAGAAAACGACTATTGACAGGATAGTTATATAAATTGCTCTGAGCGGGTCGTTTGCGAGCGGCCATATTACCTGGCAAGTGTTCTTTAATTTAAATCGGTTTAGCAAAAATGTGTTTTTAAAACCAATTTCCAGCCTTTGAATATTAAAAAAAAAAAATAATTGCCTACAATTTTACTTCATGGCATAAGCTTATGTTTATTTTTAGAAACATGGAATATCAATCCATATAATTATCTATATCATTGACCCTATCAAACCACCAGGCCCACAGTCATTGCATTCGGTCTGCCAAGTTCCTTTAACTCCTTTAACAATTTTTACTCCAAACGACCCTTTAAGCGTTCGGTTTAGTCTATAGATTACTAATGTGAATAGATGGGAAACTCAATGGTAATATTCTGAGTCGATGTGCTGCCATCTATCAAATTGGAGTGGTACTAAAATTCAATATGGCCGCGTAGCGCGGGCTTTTTGAAATTTAACTTCCTGCTAGTCGCGCAAAAATATAATGAAGAAAATCAAACAAAAAAAATAAATTGGCAAAATATTTGACTAGTTTCAAATCATAAAACAACCATATTGACTGTTTTGTGATTTGAAACTAGTCAAATATATTTGATTTTCTT